TCGCAGGTATGTTCATGGAAAAGTTGGAGGTGAATAAGTAAGCAAGCGTCCTGAAGTTATTCACACAACCAGTCGGCAGGTTGCCGAACCATTGTTGTGCGATTCCTTTGAGAGTCGTTGGAAAACACTTGCACCAAGTGGGATCATCCAACCCTTGAAGGTACATCAGGTTTGTGAATGCCATCAAATGGTCTTCTGGGTTAGTAGTGCCGTCATAGGCGCCTACTAATACATTTTTCACTTTGGCCGGCTGAGCGGCTTCAGCAATTTCCTTGGAGAAGGCCGACGACTGTTCCCCAAGTCTAAGCAACCGTAGCTGCCAGTCTATAGGTTGGACATTCTTTGCTGCATGCCCACCAAACAGAGGTGGCTGCAAAAAATATTGTTGTTGCGGTACAAATGGTAAGTTTAGTACCGCCTGGTCACTATGAAAGCCGGACTGACGGGAGGTGCCGCCTGACTGAGTCTCATGATGCGACTGAGTATACTTCATCGAGGTATTGCGTAGACTGTCTTGGAAGTTTGAAGTAGAGGCCGACTCTGACAATCGGTCATTCTTCTTCTGCTCTAGCAATAGCCGAGCATCTGTGTATGTTTTCTTCGACCCGTCCGCCTGAATATGACGAACAGGTTTCCTCTTTCCTGGAGTAGGAAAGCGATACTTTGTGAAATCAAGGACAGGTGGCTCCCACTTCCTAGAGTTAGGATGAGGGGTCGCCTCTCGCCCTCGAATAGGCTTCCTCCTCCCTGAAGAGGAAGGTTTCTTAGCCGACTGCTCCTTGGCCAGAGCAGGCGGCTTCTTGTTGAGCAACTCTTGAATCTCTCCCTTGAAGCCCCTCATGAAGGTCATGAGTTCGTTTCTTGTAATGGGAGCAGACCCATCAGCCGGCTGCTGCTGAACAGGCGGTGCGCCCGGCTGGATCACTGAGTCCAGTTTGAAGATGTTCCCGTTCCCTTCTTTCGGTATGACGGGTGCGTCGGGCCCTTAGGGTCCCGTCTGAAGCTGTGTGAGCTTCAACTTCAAATTCTTCCTCAGTATCATGGTCCGACTGAACTTGAGGGTCGTCTAGGGGACGCCTCTCTTCAGGCTCGGTACAGACGTGGATGCCATCTCAGAAGTACTCTCCCCACAGACGGCGCCAAAATGTTTCGGGGTTTTCTGATGTCCTGCGGGAGAGTTACAATTCCGAGACTGGAACCGGACGCCTGTACCTGCAAAACAAACGGATGCTCCAGATGATTGGAGATCCGCCTTCGACGGTCAAGTTAGTACTTTATTAAGGAGTAATTAATGCGGAAATAAAAGTGATATGGTCTCTCTAGGTGAGAGTGTTAAATGTGCGTCCTGCCCCTTAATGAGGATTAAGGGAGGTATTTATAACCTTGGGAAACGTGCCAATCCTAGGTTTAGGTTAACCTAGGGCTGATTGGGCTTCCCTTGGAAGTTGGGCCTAGGTGGCCGGTTTTTCCATTAGGCATGGAGGATGCCACGTGTCATGACATAATAGGTCCAGGGTGGACAAATAGGCGTGTGCCACGTGGCAAACCTTGACAGTTCCAACTGGAGGACACTTGGCAGGACCTGATTGGCCCACGTGGCGCATTCCGATTGGTGGGAGGAAAATCCCCTAATCAACTACTAATTCAGCAAGTATTTTGGGTTTTCAATTACTACTAATTTAGCAAATAACTTTGGGTCAATACTAGTAATTCAAATTACTACTGATTGAAATTACTACTAGTGAAATTACTACTGCCACTTCAAATTCATCCACTTCAAATTTGGGTCGAAAAATAATTCAGCAAATGAATACCTAGAAAAACAAATTCCTAAGTAAGACTAACAAACCTTATGAATGAGAGAAGAAAGAGACTGAGATGAAAAAAGGCGAGCAAGATGAATAGCAGAAGAAAGACTCGACCCACGACTCTCCAAATAAGGGATTTTCCCATTATCACCTTTCTCCATGGCAATGTGCTTAATCTTCTCCTTCAAACTGAGGGGTGCTGCCGTCATTTCCACCCTCATCAAGGAGTTCCACCCAGCGACAGATCGTCGAACTCCGAAACACTATCCCTCAGCATCTTCGCATACTGCGGAGCCTTAGAAGCGATTAGTTCCAAAGCAAGTTGTGGTTCCACCCCGGCTTCGGCTACAACCTCGGCAATGCCTTCCACAACTTCGCTCGAGGAGTGAGATTTTAGGGTGAAATTGGTGTTGTTGTGAGAAAGTTGTTTGAGATATTGATGATGAGGAGGAGGAAGAAGATGATGATAAAAGAGGTTGTAATTTCGGTGAAAAGTTGAATAAGAAGATGGTGGAAATAGTGGAGAAAATGACATTGTTGAAATTGAAGGTAGTAGCATTTGATTTTGATTTGCTGAGTTTGATTCTGTGACATGTATTTTGTTTGTGTAAGGAGAAATGATTGTGTGTATACCTCGCAAAAACAAACCCGACACGATATTGGCCTGGAAACCGAGTCGAAAAATTTGGGTCATGAACAAAAAATAGAACCCAAAACACATTTTTGACTGAACCTAGAAACATGCAAGTAACATCAATGTAGTTGTATTTAAAAAATTTCTTGCAAATGTCACTTTACGCACAAAAATAATGACTTGTTGCTATAAATAAAGGCTGAATTGGATTGAATTTGAAGGGTGCGACTTCATAAGAGAAAGTTTTCTCCAAAGGAGGTCACTAGATTGATTAAAATTAAAATGTTAAAGGTGGTGCTTTGTTAGAAGGTTGAGTTTTTCTTATATAAGACACTAGATTGATTTGAATTGAATAGTATAAAATTGAAGGGTCCAAATTTGTAAGAAGTTCATTATTCTTGTAAGGAAGATGTATAATAAAATTTGAATAAAATAGAAAGGTAAAATTCTCATCTTGAATTTGGATTTGAATATGAATTGATTTGAATTTGGAAAATCCCGCTTTACTCAAGGACTTGATTTACGCTAAGAGTGTGTTTGATTTTGAAATTCTAAGCATAGACTAGTTTAACACTAATAGTAGGATAATGGTTGGCTTGACAGACATAGAGTTGACTTGTCTAAGGTGTAAAAGCGACTTATTTGAGACATAGAGTTGGCTTTACCAACATGGGTTACAAGTGAGACAAATTTGGTCATGAGTGTTTTTAAAAATTATTTTATAATGGCAAGATCCGTAAGATGAGTGTACGGATTAATATTTAAATTAATTCGAATCAAAGTGTCTTAGCTAGAATAATAATTGTTATTTTGTAAATATAACCCCTTGAAAGAGAGGGAACCCTACCTTGAGAGAGAGGAAAACCACCTTGCGAGAGAGGTTTATCTACCGTGACTTTTGTGTTGCGGTTGCCGGCAATAATGGCCGACGAACTAATTAAACAGTATGAGGCTCTAAACATTAATACAGAAGAGGAGGAAGTCATCGATATAGGAGAAGTAGACACGGAGGGAGAAGAAGCTAGGGTTTCTTTGATGCTGATTGGAAGATTATTAACATATAGGGGGATTAACGTAGAGGCTTTTAAGCGTACAATCTCCCAATCCTGGGCATTGAAAGGGTGTGTAATTATCTGTTGCATTGGAGTAAACCTTTATGCGTTCCAATTTCTCCATTGGAAAGACAAAGAGAGGATCATGATGGGTAGACCGTGGTGTTTTGAACATAATTTGCTGATTCTCAATGACATTACTGGAGGTGAAAAACCGCGCGATGTTAACCTAAATTTCTCACCGTTCTGGGTGAGAATTGAAGATTTGCCTTTTAACAGCCGCACAAATAACCATGTGCGAATGATAGCATCGAAATTAATTGGGAGAGGTAATTGAGGTGGAAGAAGATTCTGTGGCTATATGCAAATACCGCCGAGTTAAGGTAATGTTGGATGTCCGAAAACCTTTGAAGAGATATCAGACCCTACGTACAAGAGAGGGTAATGTGATTAAAATCAACCTTAAGTATGAAAGATTAACTTTCTTCTATTTTTCATGTGGAACGATGGGGCATAGTGAGAAGGACTGTCTTTTGGTTGCGGATGACTTGAACGAACAAGGCCACAGATGGGGAGTGTGGCTAAAGGCCTCTCCGATGAAGGGTAAGACACAGGATGGTATGGAGGTGAGGGAGATGTTAAAGGGGAAAAAATTAAATTTCACCTCAAAGCTGGAAGTTCATAATAAGGCTAATACTAAGTTAACACCTTATAGCTATGGGAGAGGGAGGGTGGAGATGGAGGGGGGAAAGAGCTCTGGAATGGACTATATTGAAAAGCAATCAGTAAGGGGGGATAAGGATGTGAATACAGGGGAGGGTATGGAGAAGGGGGAAGAGGCCTTGACTATAGTTAGAGAGATAAGGAGTTCACCTCAATCTTTAAGGGATGAGATGTTACATGAGGGAGATGAGGCGTTAAGTGTTACTGGGGGGTTGAATTAGGAGTAGCAGGGAGGAAGTCAGAGGGAGAACAGGGTGATAGGGGGATAGAGAGAAGGAATGAGAGATGTCAGGTTGGATATGAGGGAGCTCTGTCTACTACTATGCTCAATTCAGAGGGGGCCACTTTAGTGATAGGGGAGCCACTGAAGTTTAATCTAGGAAAAACTCCTATTGATAGGAGGAAACAGATATCTGAGAAGAAAAGAAGGACCATGAAAAACACACACAAGTCAAAATTCGGGAGTGGTCAGGATGTCCTATCTTTGCAGAAAGATGAACTTAATAGACCAAGGGAGTTGGGAGAGAAAAGGAAAGCAATTGATGAGATGGAAGTGGATGGAGGGGATGATGAAAATGAAGTGACAGTAAACAAAAAAGGGAGGTTCCAGCACCTTATGCAAGTCGATGAACAAATTATGAAAGTAGCGGAGGTGGTCAAAACTCCACCCCGTGAACAACAATGAAAATATTTAGCTGGAACTGTCGAGGGCTTGGCAACCCTCGGACAGTGAATTCTCTCCGGGAATGGTGTTGGAGAGAGATGCCGAACTTGGTTTTTATAATGGAAACCAAAATAGATGCAAAGAAACAAGAAGGTGCAAGGAGGAAATGTGGGTATGTCAAAGGGTTTGGGGTGAGTAGTATGGGCTTATCAGGTGGTATGGGCTTGTGGTGGAGAGATATTCGAGTAAAAGTGGTGTCTTACTCAGCAAACCATATTGCAGTAGATGTCTTGGATGAGAATGATGTGGTGAAATGGAGGGTGGTGGGTGTTTATGGATGGCCGGAGAGTGTTAACAAGAATAAAACGTGGTTTCTTATGAAGAGCTTGCGACATGAATGTCCTGATAGGGTCATATACTTTGGGGATTTTAATGAGATTCTGAGTGATGATGAGAAACTAGGAGGTGTTCAGAGAAACGAAGGTTGTATGGATGGTTTCCGTGAGGCTATTGATAGCATAGGGGTTCGGGATTTGCTTTACAAGGGGAATAAATTTACATGGCAACGTGGGCTGTCCATTAAAACGCTCATCCAAGAACGCCTAGATAGGTTCCTAGCAAGTAATTCGTGGTGTAATCTGTTCCCAGCGCACGAAGTAATCCATCTCCCAATTAGACCACAACGTTCGGACCATGCCCCTATACTTCTGAAGGCGGGCTTGCGTGAGGAAAATAGAAGGAAAAAAAGACTCTTTCGTTTTGAGGCAATGTGGCTGTCAAACCCGGAGTGTGAGAAAGTTTTGAAGGAGGCATGGGAAAATGCTATCACTGGTAATACTTCGGACAAGGTGGTCTCATGTGCGACTAATTTGAGTAAATGGGCGGCCAAGACCTTTGGCAGTATTAAGAAGAGAATAAGGGAAGTAGAGGAACAACTCCTGATCAATCAATCGGGTGTGATGGATAATGTGAGATTGGCAAAGTGTAGGGAACTGTCGGAAGAAATCGATAACCTCCATCTACTTGAAGAGTCGTATTGGCATGCTAGAGCTAGGAATAATGAGCTCCGTGATGGGGATAAAAATACCTCCTATTTCCATCACAAAGCAAGTGCTAGAAGGGCAAAAAAATACGATTGTGGGTATCGAAGATCAGAGGGGTAGTTGGGTGAAGGACGAGCAGGGTATCCAGAAGGTAGTAACAGATTACTTCTCCCACTTGTTCACTTCAGAAGGGGTAGCTAATTGCCAGGAGGCTCTGGAAGGAGTTCGTGTAGCTGTTACAGCTGGAATGAACGACGAGTTATGCAAGGAACCAACGTTTGAGGAGATTAAAACGACACTCTTTGAAATGCATCCAAATAAATCTCCGGGGGTAGACGGTATGCATGCTCTTTTTTACCAGAAATTTTGGCACATTGTTAAAAATGATATTGTGAGTTTTGTCATTAATTGGTGGCATGGTTTTGTGGACATTTCGAAAGTTAGTAAGACATGTATCGTACTCATTCCTAAGTGTCATGATCTAAAAAAGATTACCGAATATAGACCAATTAGTCTGTGTAATGTGTTATATAAAATTGTGTCAAAATTCCTGGCAAACCGGCTTAAACCATTGTTACAACAATTAATTTCCCCTCAGCAGAGTGCGTTTGTTCCCGGGAGACAAATCACTGATAATGCTCTAATTGCTTTCGAAGTTTTTCATGCTATGAAAAGAAAAAGGGAGGAGAGACATGGTACAATTGCATTGAAATTGGATATGATGAAGGCCTATGATAGGGTGGAGTGGGGTTTTATTGAGCAGACCATGATAAAATTGGGCTTTGATATCAGTTTTATACAGAGAATTCTGAACTGTTTATCCTGCTACTCTTTCAAATTCAAGATGAATGGCGAATTGGTGGGAGATGTCAAGCCTCAACGTGGACTCCGGCAGGGTGACCCTATATCCCCGTATTTATTTTTATTGGTTGCTGATGCTTTCTCCTGTTTGTTGTCAAAAGCAGTGTTTGATAATGTTATCCATGGAGTGAAGATATGTAATGGAGCTCCCTGTATTTCCCATTTATATTTTGCAGACGACAGCATTTTATTTGCCAGATCTACTGATGTAGAATGCAAGGAAATTGCCCATATCCTTAATGTATATGAGAGTGCCTTGGGCCAAAAAATAAATCTCCAGAAATCGGAAGCGATTTTTGGCAGGAATGTTCCAGAACCTCAAAAACAGGCTATATGTAACCTGTTAGGGGTCAAGCAAGTTAACAGGCATGAGAAATACCTAGGTATACTTACGGTGATTGGGAAATCCAAGAAGGCTATCTTTGCAAATCTGAAAGATCGAATATGGAAAAAGTTACAAGGATGGAAGGAGAAATTGTTGTCAAGGGCGGGGAAAGAGATTCTCATTAAAGCTGTAGCTCAAGAAATACCAACATATTTAATGGGAATTTTTAAAATCCCGGATAGCCTGTTAGAGGAAATCCATGGTATCCTAGCTCGGTTTTTGTGGGGAAACGGAACTCAGAAGAAGATCCACAGGAAACGGTGGGAAGATTTATGCTTACCAAAGGCAAAAGGTGGCATGGGCTTTAGAGACCTCAAGGTGTTTAATCAAGCTCTTCTGGCAAAGCAATGTTGGCGGTTACTTCATGGAAAAAACACCCTAGTATATAAGGTGTTAAAAGCACGATATTTCAAAACTACGGAGTTTCTGGATTCGTATAGAGGCTTTTGTCCGAGTTACACTTGGAGAGGTATATGGGGAGCTAAGGCGTTGCTAAAGGAGGGCTTACTATGGAGAGTAGGAGATGGCTCAAGCATCAGGGCTTGGAGGGGTAGTTGGGTTCCATGTAATGGAATGACTGTAACTATTGACCCTCCTCGTAATGGTCTTCATGATGGAGATCTTCGGGTGGCAGCTTTAATTGATGAAGAACGTAGATGCTGGCAGGAGGAGGAGCTAGCTTTGCATTTTAGGCAGGAGGATATTAAAAAAATTCTGTCTATTCCGTTACTTCAGGATGCTGGGCAAGATATGATTTTCTGGAGTTTGACAACTAATAGAGCATACTCGGTCAAGTTAGGGTATTGGGTTGGCATGTTGGGGAGAGCAACTACGAGTAGTGTGATTAGGGAAGACTTATGGCGGTGTATCTGGAAGATGAATGGCCCCCCTAAGCTCCGCCACTTCCTATGGCGAGCATGTAATAACACTTTGGTAGTTGGGGGTGAATTGCAAAGGAGGCATATAAGCACCTCAAGGATATGTCAGCGATGTAACGATGAGGAGGAGTCTTTACAATATGCTCTATTTTTTTGCAACTCTGTAAGCGAAATATGGGAGCAGTGCAGTTTCTGGAGGGATGCCCAACACAGGGTAGGAGGGAATTTTGTAGAGACTTTCACCAATATGCGTGATCTTTTGCCAAGTCAGGAGCTATGTGTTTTCTCAACTCTGGCCTGGGCAGCGTGGACTAGCAGGAACAAGTCAGTGTTTGAGGAAACCACCCACAACCCTCAACAGTTAGCTGTTCAATTAGTGAACTATGTACATAGCTATCAACAATATCCCAAGAGAGTGAGTAGTGTAAAGCAAAAACAAAGCTCTCGTAGTAGAAATAGCTGGAAAAAACTGAGAGAAGGGGTCACTAAAATCAATGTGGACGCTGCTATCTTACACAATGGGGAAGTGGGTGTTGGTGTTGTTGCCAGGGACTACAGGGGAGAGATCTTGTTTACAGGTGCAAGGAGATACAAGGGAAGGTGGGAAGTGAAAATTGTTGAGGCCACTGGCATGCAATATGGGATCGAGCTTGCTATCCGACTAGTATATGAGAAGATATGGCTAGAGAGTGATGCTCTTGGGATTGTGCAACAGGTGAATGGGATGAGGCGAGGCTTCAATTATCTCCATTTAATCACTGGTCGTATCAACTCTTTATACAATTTTTTCTCCTTCTTTTATTGTATCCATGTTAAACGTGGGGGTAATACAGTGGCCCATTTACTTTCTAGGTCATGTTTATCTGGCACTGAGGAACATGTATTGATTAGGGGGATTTTCCCTCCAATCACCCCCTCGCCATGTGGACCAATCAGGTCCTGACAAGTGTCACCCAGTTGGACTTATCAAGACCTGCCGCGTGGCACACTTCAGCTGGTCCACCATGGACCTCCTATGCTATTCCATGTGGCCCTTTCAGCCTTGTCTAAACAGGTAGCAAATTGGGCCCAAATCCCAAGAAAGCCCAATCACTCCTATGGTTGGCCAAAAACCCTAGAACCTGGCACGCTTCCCAATGCTATAAATACTGTCATAAATGCTCATTAATGACATAGACTGTTCACAAAAAACACACGGATTGCACAAATCCCAAGACAATCACACACCACTCGGTACCGCCTGCTAGACCCTTTCTAGCATCCGGCACCTATTTACATTCCGCATTACAACTCCTTCACTCGCTAACTTGATAGTTGGAGGCGGAGCTCCCTACCCAAGGAGTCTCCGTTATCTTGCAGGTACAGGCGCGTGGTTCCAGCCTTGAAGTTGTAACTCTCCCAAGGGACACAAAAAACCCCCGAAACATTTTGGCGCCGTCTGTAGGGAGAGTACCTTTAAGATGGCATCACAATCTGTACCGACTAATAGTGACAAGCGTCCCGAGGAGGACCAGGCGGCCGAGTCCAGCTCAGAAGAGGAGGAAGAAGTAGTGGCCCTGTAGTCGATTGGGGTGGAAGCATCTAAAGAAGCTGCCCCTGATGCCGAGACAAGTAAGAAGGATGCCTCTCAGAACCAGGCGTCCCTTGCTGATCAGGCGGCATTCAATACCGAAACTCTACCACAAACTTAGAGCTTTTTATATTCAATCTTATCTTCGGCCTGCGTGCTGTTTGTTTTTGTATATCTTTACCCGGCCAGGGGGCCGGGGCTTCTGAATATTTTGCCAGCTTGCCTGGTTTTAACTTAACCTTGCCAGCTTGTCTGGCTTTAATTTGATATGATTTGGCGACTGTTGAGTCGTCTTTTGCTGTTACATATGCTGTTGTCTTTTGACTTTTATTTTTGTTGAATTTGCCAAACATTTTTCATGTCGCGACTTAATAGCCGCTTGTATGGCGTATCCATGTTAAACTTTTTAGCTAAGTTGTTGGATCCTGATGCCGACTGCCCTTGCCCCTGGACAACTAGGTTACTTCTTGAAAAGAGAGTAACTAGTCGGCCATAGACAGTCGGACCTCAGTAGCAAACATAACCAGTCTTGGGTGAAATGCACTTAGTCACAGTTGTAAGGTACCGACTGAATTAGTGCATTTCAAGTCACAGGAGTCGCCTAGTTCTTAGAGAACAGTCGGCTAGTCGCTGTTTTATCAATTGTCGTAAGTTCCTTGGTATGTTTACGAGAAACATAGTAGGATGCTTGTTGTTTGGACGACTGTCAATTCAGACGGTTGTATCAGTCGTTATCACATCCAGTCGGACACCGAGAGTAGGGGAGAGCATGGGACGGGTACCCGTTCCAATAACGTTATTGGTTCGGGTACCCGATAACCGTTAAGGCTAAAACCAATTTTCGAAACCGTTCCGATAAGGTTCGGGTACCCGTAAATTCGGATACCCGAAAATACGGGTACCCGAACCAAAAAACCGAGCCGAACCAATAAGCAGAATATTTTTTTTCGGGTCTTTTTATTTATTTTAAAACCTGCTTTGCAATTCGTTTTTAGATGCTTTTTTACTAGTTTTTTTTAACTTCATATTTTTTGAACTATAACAATTGAACTTAAATACATAAATAACAAAAATAATTACAAAAATCGCTGCCTTAAGCTTTGGAAGCCTACCAATCCCTGTCCTTGAGGCTGCTGCTTCCTCACCTCTCCTGCCTGGCTGCCTGAACTCCTTCTTGTACCCACCTACTTAGTAATTTTTGTTCAAACTTCCACCTATTTTTCTAGTATTAATTATTGTTATTAGTACAATGAATTTTTGTAACAAATAACAGCCTAATAGGCTAATATTTAAACCTGAATACACATATAACACAGCACATCAACCCGATTACAAATGAACAAATACTTGGTACAAACATACTGTTTCTTTTAAAAAAAGTCCATAGTTAAACCAGTACATAACAAAAAAACAATTCCATAGTTTATAGTTTTAAAAAAAAAACAGTCCATAGTAATCATAATTCATAAAATACTCCAAGCCTTCAATGACTTCCAGCCTTCAATACAATCACTACCAACCTTCATGATTATAAGTTGCTACCTCTAATCATCATTAACAAAGAGAGAATGTTCCTCACCAAGAGGTAACGTTTCTTCAAAAAAAATAAAAATAAAAAAAGTTAATGAATAATTAACAAGATAATGAGATTAAAAAAAAGAGAAAATATTTAATTGTTACCTTATTCAATTTTTTCCATATCTTCAAGTCTCTCCTCAAGTATAAGAGGACCTTGAGATGTATGTAACCAATTGTAACACCCCAATAATTCTCTCTAAAAGAAAACCTGCAAAAACTTGTAAATACTTTTAATAACCTGTGAGAGAATTACTGGTGTGCTACAGCCACGTGTTAAAACGTTAAGGCTAGTTTCAGAAATTAGCAGCGGAAAACTAACTTAGTTTTAAAAAGGAATATTAGTTTCAAAACTAAAAATCAAAACTCAATTTAGTCTTACAAGTTGGAACCATAACGGCCCTTATTCAAAATCTAGTATACTAGGAAGTAAATGGAATTAGAACCAAATTAAAATTCAATCTATGATATAAAATAAGCTAAGTGATTAAACAACGCTCCACTCAAATCCCATCACCCTGATGCAATTCAGTTTATGCAAAAACCTGTGATAAATCTGCTCCCCAATATTACAAGTGTAAGAATTGGATCATTACAGGGTCATTGAAGGCGAAGGCCATGACCAAGAGAAACACACAAAAGCACGCAATCAGCATCGCTGAGTACATACAAGCTACGAAATATAGTAAAGAGTCTTAGCATGATACTATCAAGAATTTCATACACTCACAATATAATCATTGACTCGAACACATGATTCAATTGTTACTTATTATAAATTTTCTCTAATAGTATTGATCACTTCATTAATTTAATTGGATTAAGCAATAGACCGGGTTGTCCCCCTGTGCTCCATTCCGGAACATTAAATAAGAAAACCCTATGCCTCCTTTCGGAAGACATTAATAAACATCCAATGGCAGACGGCCGCGACTCCGTGGCCATAGCTAGTATGAGATCTCATCTAACTCATTATAATTTTAAAAGAATTTAAAACAAGAGACTCGTAGATCAGACGACCTCTGAAAAGTGCACGGCTAATACCCCGTGAACCCAACCCCTGTTTGTCATTACTCTAGATGTGCACAAATCCAAAGTTTTATTGCTCATCCTTCTTGCACTTTACGTGATTTACCAGTTTAAATTTGGTGATGACTCGTATGCAAACAACGCAACCAATCATACATCAAACATTCAAATCATTCAAGTTTCCAATTTAATTCTTAATTTATAAGTGACAAGTAACATTTATTATTGAATACTTTAACTACCTCGGTGTATAAACACCTCAAGTGCATAAGGCACCTCATATCCAAAATCTTGTCTTATAAGACTTTAACTCTACCTTTACTCATTCCATTTCAATACAGATGAATAAGTAATTAAAATGATTCATTCCATATGTATACTTGTAGCTTTACTTTTTAAGCTCTCCTTGCAAATTATTGCATAAATAATACTCATAAGGAAAAATCAATGCAATCTCTCATACATGAATTAAGGCAATCATCACATTGATCATCAACCAACTCATTACCAAACAATGTCAACCAATTCACAAGTTCCCTAGCATGATTCTAGGTTTTTTTTTTCCCCAAGTCCTTAAACATGCTCCTAAAATCAAGTTTTCTCATATTCTTATACGTACCTTAATTAAATTATCTTTCCAACTAGCCACAATGCTAGAAATTACTCAACTTAAAGTCTCCTACAATACCAAATACATAAACTCAATTACTTCCTTGATTACACAAATTTCTAGCAACTTTTAAACACTTTAAACCTTCTCTAATAAGCTGAAATTTTGGTTTAAAACCTTTAAAACTCTTTCTTTAAGTGGGTAATTAAAACCACAAAGTAAAAACTCATTCATGGTGTTTATATAAAAATTCCAGCACACTTTTTAAAATTTAAACCCCCAAATAAATCTGAAAATTATTTTTAAAACATTAAACCTTCGTCAAAAATCAAAAACTGTCCGAAAACCCTATTTAGAGGCTGATTTTGGCCACGAGAGGGTGGTGCTCACTACAAAAGATAGTGAGTTATGATTAGAACATTGTTTACACACGAAAAATGTTATTGTTTTGTAAAAATCAGATGAGTTATAATCTCAGCGGGATAAAAACGTGATTAAAAATAATTAAGAACGGAGATCGGAATTTGATTACCGAAAATCAGTTTTTATGTTTAATTAATCTTTATAAATTCAATAGGAATTAAAGCCCTAATTTAATTGATTATTAGAACCCTAAAAATCAACACTTTAATAGTTAAAACCCTAACTTTTTAATACTTTATAAAAACCATAATTTAAAACCATACAAAATCAGAAATTTATACTCTTTAGTTATCAAAACACAATTATAAAATATATTAATCATATTTAAATAACAAGAATCAAAACCCAAAAATATATACTACATAAAACAATAATTTAAAACAAGGAGGAGGAGAGATGGGTGGCTCACGGTGTGGGTGGTTGCCGACGTGGGTCGTCGGAGCTCTGGCTGGCTGGGGAGTGGCGTGAGGTTGCTGCAAAACATGAAAGCAGCAATTGGCCATGCATTCACGCATGAACCAAAGCAGCATGCAAGGAAAGAAAAGAATAAGAAAAAGGAGAAAAGAAAAGAAAGAAAAAGAAAAGAAAAAAAATAAGGGAAAAGAAAAGATTACTTACCCCAAAATCTTATTTTTGATCTCTTGTGTGGGAAAATTTTGGGGTATTGAGAGGTATTTATA